AGAAATAAATGGCCTTTTTAGAAAGTGAACCATGGATAAGAAAATGTTGGCAGTTTTCTCAAAAAATGCTCGAATTCAAGAAGTTTTTGAGTTGCAAAATACACTTGAACATGACGCTGCTTTTTTCGAAGTTTCTCAAGAACCAATCGAGCCAGAGAATTCGTTTTGGCATCGTTGGATAGAGAATTGAATGGGGGGGTCATGACCCCCATGACCCCCCCTAAATCCGCCCTTGTAAGTAACGTTCCCGATGAGAGATTCCCGGAAGAGTCCCTAATATTCCCGTTCCTACACCACTGTCCATGGGTTATTTACCCTATGCCAGGAATAGACTGATTTCCCGTGCGCGCTCAGATGGATTGCGCCTCGCTTTTTCGTGTTTCAGTCCGCAATATGGCTGGTTAGGTACTGGTTGGCGACGATCGTCGGTCGAAATTGGTAAGAACCACGTGCTAGTGAGACAGTGCATTGGGAGGTTGGAACGGCATAGGTAAGTGGTTTTATCGCCAACTTTTCGCTGGCTTTACAAGGCATAGTTATTGGCATTCTTCCTTGGGTGTCTTTGGCTGAAAGCTGGCACTTGTCCGGCCAGAGGCGCGGTTTTTCTAAGATGCGCCAAAGGGCTTTATTCGCTTTCGGTGCATAGACGTTATTCTTGCTTGATGGCCTTTCCATTCATAACGAGCCGATCTGCGGAATGGGGCCAGATTTGCACGTGCTTTGCCTGCATTTGCATTTTAAATGCAAATTGCTGCTCATTATCTTTATTACCGATGTTCTAGTTGGTCAAGTCGGTTGCAACAACACGGAAAAATACCTTCTCAATTACCAGATTTAGTTAAATCAGTGGATTTATTATGCCTTATTTGCATTCTGCTTGTTTGGAGAATAAAATCCCATTCAACTGCGTTTAAAATTGTCATTTTTCAATGATGGAATGGAATTTGGCTGTTCAAATCGCTCACCCGTTTTCCCGTGGTGTCCAACCATTGCTTGACTACACCAAAAGCACTTTAATGTGATTTAAGCTCGGAAATTAAATAAGTAAGAACCATCTAAATGGAGTAGGTCGAATTCTTGACACCTGCTGTCAGAGTATTGTTCATTTTTTTCTGAAATTGACGTAATCGCTCAGTGTCTGCTTCACCGTTTACCCGTATGTATAACGGAGATGGCTGAAATAATTTGGGTGGAGTTGGACGTGCTCCCGACTTTCTCCGTCAGTTTTAGACAAGTGGCTCTGTTAAAAAGTGAAGAATTTTTATCTTGAAAAACCAGCTAACTAAGCTTGGAAATTTTCTTCAAATTTCTAACTGGTTGGTTGAGGTTTTTGGCACCTTTCGGGAAATTATTTGCAAAAAAGACGCAAAAAACTGGCTTTCACACCCCAAATCCCTAGACCTTGATCTTGAAATTTCCAAGCTCATAAACTTGCGGTGATGCAGACTAATACTTGAGGAATTTTCAATATAATATCGCTATTTCCTCTAAGATTCAGGAGGGTGGCGAAAGCCTTGACAAGCTAAAGTTATCGAAATAGTGAAACGAATCAGTTACATACAAACCTGTAAGAAATCGTGTTATTTGGAGCGATTGCTAGCGAAATTCGACGTTTTTACCATGCTTGAGCAACTGAAGTCTTTGGGGGGTTTTATTCTGCTGATCAGTCCTAACGAATGGAAGAATTTCGGGTTATTGAGCCGTTCAGAGGGGGTCGCCCAAAGCAAACACGCTCTGAATAAGGAATTTTAAAAAAACATTTAAAAGAGCAATTCAGCATTCCAGAGAGGAAGCTTCAGTTTAATCGTGGCGTGCATTTGGTTTTATTCCAGCAAGTCGTTTCTTCATAATTAATTGTTGAAGTTTGCCATTTTTAAGCGCGGTGTTTCGTTTTTGCACCATGCTCTTCTGAAGTACATTTCTAACGACCTATTTATGGTGCCGCAACGTGGCCATTATCAGTCGATAGGGGAAACTTCTGTTTACTCGTGGTGTGCATTTGGTTCAATTGGAGCAAGTGGATCCTTCAGAAATAATTGTGGAAGTTTGCATTTTTTTGCGCGGTGTTTTGCATTTGCGCCATGCTCTTCTGGAGTCCCTTTCTAAGGTACCGTTTAAAGCACCGAAATGCTGACTTCAGCAGTCCAGAGAGGAAGCTTCAGTTTAATCGTGTTGTGAATTTGGTTCCATTCGAGCAAGTGGTTTCTTCGTAATTAATTGTTGAATTTTGCCATTTTTAGACGCGGTGTTTCGTTATTGCACCATGCACTTCTGAAGTACATTTCGAAGGATCTATTTGTGGTACTGCAATGTGGCTATTAGCAGTCGATAGAAAAAACTTCAGTTCACTAATGGTGTTAATTTGGTTCCATTCGAGCAAGTGAA